GCTGATATCAAGAGTATGCAAATTGACTAACTCATGTAGATTTGATGGTAGTTTTTCGAGGCTGATACAGTCTTTGAGTTGTAATTCTTGCAAGTTGTGGAGTCTTGCTATATCTTCAGGAAAGAACTCCATTTTAGAACATGTAATGGAGAGTGTCTCCAGGTTGACTAATTTATTCCAACATTTTTCAAAGATACATCTCAGGTCATTATAATCTTTGAAAAACAAAATTTCCAGGTGATGTAGGCCAATAGGAAGTGAGTCAAGTGACTCGAAGGAGCAATCCACAAGCCTGAGTTTGTGAATATACATACATGGTGGCAATGACTCGCAATAATCACAGGAATTGAGATCCAGACTCCTTAAGTTAGTTAACTTTTCCAAGCTATCATAAAGTGGCCTCATATTGCAAGATGATAAAGAGAGATGTTTGAGGCTGACAGGCATATTAAAATTTTCCAAGCTATCATAAATGGATAATCGCAGATGTAGTGTTTGTAAATTGGATAGCTTGCTTAAGCTGTGAATAACGGACTCATCAATTTCAACATCAGAAGAGTCGAGAGAGAGATGTGTAAGCCTTGTGAATGTGACAAAGTAGTTATCCGGGAGGCAAATATGATCAGTGAAGTAGAGATAGAGGTGGGTGAGCTCACTGAATTGCATTATGGAATCTGTTAACTCCTTAACATTTTCCAAGTCCAAAAATCGAACCAACATGAGTAAATTTCTGTTATTAATAATCCATTGCGAAGGATCATCCTCCTTCAATCGGAGATAACCAGGAGGAGATATGATAGAGGGATTTTGAGCTGCATCATTTCTTATTTCTGCCATTGTAGGAGGGGGAGAGAAGAGATAAGCTTGATTATTACATAGTATAACTACCACGTCAACTAGAACAAACAAATTTGGAGTAAAACTGTAAAAGTAAAAGCATTGGCAATGTAAACTTACCTCCACCAAAAGGAATGGGCAATTCTCCTATCTCTGTTTTAAGTTCCTCCCAGGATTTGCGAACATGCCTATCTTTAACAGAAATGATGACCGAATGATTCAAGTCATATGGCAACGTTTCGAGTCTGAAATGTTCGGGCAACATTAGATGTCGGAGTTTGCGTAGCTTCGTGATGCTCCAAGGAAGACACTTGATTTTGGATGATTGAATATCAAGAAGACATAAATGGGCCAACCCATCCAAATTTGCCGGCAATTCAACCAGGGACTCACAGGAAAAGAGAGATAAAGATGTCAAATTGGATAGATTTGCAATGCTCAAAGGAAGTGACTTTATGTTCTTGCAATATTTAAGTTTGAGATGGGTAAGGCTCACCAACTGCCCTATATTTGCCGGCAATTCAACAAGGGAATCACAGGAAGAGAGAGTTAAATAAGTCAAATTGGATAGATTTACAATGCTATCAGGAAGGAACTTTATGTTCTCGCAATAATCAAGCTTGAGATGAGTAAGGCTCACCAACTGCCCTATATTTGCCGGCAATTCTTCCAAACAATAACACTTATAAAATTGCAAGTGCTCCAATTTGTGAAGCCTAGTGATGGTGTTAGACACACATTTCAGGGAATCACAGTACAAGAATTCCAGGCGGATGAGCTGTGTGAGCTCACCTATTGATTCTCCTACCTCTTCCTTTTCATAACAACGCAAGGCTAGACGAGAAGGAGGGTTATTTTTAATCCATGCCTCTGGATCCTCCCTCAATTCCAAGTGACCTTTAGAATCTACTTCTCCGCAAGTTATCATTTCCTTAGCTTCAACAAGAACACCAAAAACCACCTCTTTTAATTTTAATTTCAAACTACAGAAATATAAACTGGGAAATAAAGGAACAAAGAGAGAAGATAAATACTACTCAGTAGTTGCAGCTTTAAGATTCCATCAAGAAATTATCACAACTATCAACTTCAACGTGAACCTCAACCGCAAATAATTAGTTGTGGTTAATAAGAAGAACTAATGACCACATAGATTTATAAATGCATCACAGCTTTTCTGGACCCCACTTAAGTAATTATGCCTTGAACCTGAGCCTCAATGAATTATTATGCATTGAACCTGAACCTCAAGTTATACTTCACTAAGTTAACAGTAACGGCCCATAGTCATACTATGTTGGTATGTTCCTTAAAAAAAAAAAAAAAACAACTCTGTTGGTTTGTATATCTACTAGTTAAAAATAAAAAAAAGTATTCTAAATCTATTAGTCCAGATATTTATTTATTTATTTAAGAAAAATAAAGTAACAACAAGCATTTAATTTTATACGGAGTAGCTTATACTATATGAGTCAAAATATGTCAACTCTATCCAATTACACTCTGTTTCTCTACCTTTTTTTTTTTTTTTTTTTTTTTTGTTTTTTCAAATTACAAGTGTCTTTTACCCACTTATAAAGCACATATCTAGGGATGTCAGTGGGGCGGGTCAAATAAGAGACCCGCGTTGGGGCGGGTCAAATAAGAGAGCTGCGTTGGGGCGGGGATGAATCTTGGTTTGGCGGGTGATGGGGCGGGGATGGAGATAAAAACCATACCCGCCATGGGTGATGAGGCGGGGTGGATTTTAGGTTTATCCGCCCCACCCGTCCCACTTCGTACCCGCTCCATCCCCACCCACCCCACTTCGTACCCGCTCCATCTCCACCCACCCCACTTCGTACCCGCCCCATCCCCACATCCATATATTTTTAAAAACAAAATTATATACTTTTATACTATTTTATAAAAAAAATTATGTAAAATAAAATAGTAAATATAATACTTTGTAATACACTTATATTATAAACAATAGAATGTGTAATATTAATAATAATTTTTTTCTTTTTGCAATCTTTATTAATTATGAAGGATTGTGTATTTGGGAGGCGGGGATTAGGCAGGTCTTAGGTGGGGATTAGGTGGGGGTGATTATTCAAGTGGGGGCGGGGATGGGGATGAATTTTAGACCCGTCGCGGGGATGGGGATGGGGATGGGATGGATATGAAAATTTTAGATTGAGATGAGGATGGGAAGACTAAAATCCGCCCCACCCCGCCCTATTGACAACCCTTGGCGGACCCAGGAACTTCCGGACCCAGGAACTTCCGACTGGTGAGTCACAATCGATAACCAAATATGTAAAAAAAAAATTTCTTACCAAGATCATCCAAATAGAAAATTGACAAGATTACAATACTAACTAATAATTAACAAGCTTAAAATTGACAAGACTAAAATTGACAAGCTAATAAACACCCTAAATAAACACTGACCACAATTCACATAATCACATGGTCAAAAAGGTTCAAATTTCATCAAAAAGACAAAAACCCAACAACATTAACAAAAGGTTCAAAGTTTACAAACAAACAACAACAAAATCAACTAAAGTTTCAAACTTTTACCAAAAAACTAACAAAATCAACGAAATAGAGAGAAGAATCCAATCACTGTGTCTCGACAACCTCCAATTTCCCTTAAACTTATATCAAATAATTTAATAGAATTAACTAATTAGACTGAATTAAATTGAAGATTAGAATTTTAAACTAAAAATTAGAAATCAACTTACTAGCAAAATGAGAATAGGAGAGAGAGGAGGAAGCTTTCGATGATCACCGACAACCCAAATACCCAATCAAGAGCAACAACACCATCAATGTGTGGAGGCAGTGGAGCCGGCGAGCCGCCTGTGTGCAGCAGCAGCAGTGAGCGAAGATGAAGAAGAGGAAGAGCAGGAGGAGGTGACCAGCACTGGAAGCAGTGGCGGAGGTCTGCTGATCTGGCCGTCTGGTGATTTGGTGAAGATGAAGCGAAGAGGAAGAGCAGGAGCAGGGCAGGAACACAATTTCTCACCTGCAATCTTAGCTTTCTTCGTTCTACAACCAAATAAACATTAAAAATAACATTAAAAAATTAAATCATGAAATTTTACACATACGCAATTCAATTAGGAACAAATTACAAGTACCCAGATCAAAATTAACAATCAAAAAGTTAAATTGAAGACAAATAGAAGACCTGATGAACAAAATTGATGTTGGGTTGAGAAAGAAAAGATGGGTAAAGGAGAAAAAGAAACAAGAGGATGATGAATTGAAGTGAGAGGCAAACTTTTCAAGAAAAGACTGAACTTTGTTCCTAACATCATCGTTATTATCATCATCAAATACTAGAATTTCACAATCAAGTGATAAGCCATAGTAAATATTCAATCAAATTACAGACATTTGCTAGAAAACAGAAATTACCTTAAGCAATGGAGTGTATCAATAATTCGTCTAGCTCGGAGTGTAAATCTTCGAATATTTTTTTTTTTTTTTAAGAAAAAAATTAGAATTTTTTTTGGGCCTTGGTGACTCATTTGACCCACCAGGCACAAGGCCAATTCCGCCACTAGGCTACAAATATCTAAACATCTATAAATTTTGAATCACACGTCGAAACTAATTTAAGAATATCTCACACGTATTTAGTTTCCCTCTTCATTACAACATTCCAAACAAAAACAGCTCAAAGAAACGGAGTTATATCATTATATTCACTATCCTACAAATAATAAATGTAAGTCAATGAGTCAATATTATTCCGGCACAATTTTCAGCAAATCCATAGTATAACTGTCTCTTTAGAGCAAGATTATTGGAGAGGATATATGTCCTCTTGTGTGGGTTTTTTTGCTGATTTGGAGTAGTCCTCTTTGATGTTGGGTAATGTAGAGGATCCTCAAGGAGAAGAGGATTACCTTGTCCTTTGTGCCAAGAGGATGAAGTGTCAACTTTTATTTGTTTATTTGTTACATAATTTTATAAACTCAAAAAAATTATAACGGTAATTAATCACAAACGGTAACATATTTTTAAAAACTAATTTTACCAACGGTTGTATTTTTATTTTCTCTATAAAATGAACCTAATTTTGGCCATCTTTTATACACTTCAATTTTGCATCTTTTTCACTCCTTCCTCTCTTTCCTCTCTTTTTATAATTTTCTTTTGTAATGGATGAAAATAATCATAGTTATGGAAGAAATATGAATTTGGCAGAATATTTATGGGCAAGATTTGAGCATACTAGTAATCGGTAAGGAAAAAAGAGGATAATTAGTTATTTGTCTTTAATTTCTTGTATTTGTTGTACTTTAGTGTATCAATTAGTGTTTTTATTCCTAATTTGATGTGTTACTGTATCAAAATATATATAGGTAAGGTAATTTTTATTATGTATGCTAATTATCGAATCCTAATTATTATTATTATTATCATTATTAGACCTTATCATTATAGAAATCAATAAAAAATAATCTTTTACAAAGAAAAAATTTGAAGGTGGGGCCATATTTATAGTATAAAATATATCAAGAGGATACCCTTTGATGTGGGAAAAATAAATGGAAGAGGATGGAAGAGAGGAAAGAGATAGTGGGAAATAAGGTGGATGAAAGAGAGTATGAGGTGTCAAAATAGGGTAAGGAGAGAGAATGTTTGTGAGGACAAAACCATCCTCACCAATATTTATGCTCTTAGTAAAGATTAGATGATTTAAGACTATAATACCCTGATCCAGAAGATGAAAGCAGCAAAAACTTAAACCAAACAAAAACCATGAACTTTCAACATCAAGTAACCCAAAAATCATGCAAATTCTACCTATCATAATAAACATGTATACATACCAGTAATTTGGTTAGGGTAGTTGGACATCACAGTAGTAACTCACTACTTACACAACCTGTAAAAGCATTGGTATGAAAACCCACCATTAATTCCCTCTGCCAGCTCTGTTTTATTCATCAGCCCTCTAAATTGTCAGTGTCTCCATTAAAATTTACAGCCCTCTTTCTTCAGCTTCCTACCTATCAACTCCAAAAACATAATAAATGCAACTTTAAATCAATAAATAAGCTTTCTTTGAACTTTCTTTCTCACCTTCTATAAATACATAAAACAAGCTGCATGTTACATTGCATCCAGTTCTGACATACAAAAATTATATATATAACGAGAGTAAGAGTTTATAATTTATGCTACATTGACTTGGGAATGGTATACAAAATGATTAATGTACCTGTTGAAGCTAATTGTCTTCAAAAACCAACATTCTTGGTTTTAATCCTTGTTTTAGGATTGTTTCCTTGTTATATTCATTGATTCTCCTTTGAATTATATGCATTGTCGTGCCCGGGTGTCGAGTTTGTAGTCCGGGATGCTGTAAGATGAGCTGCTTCTACTGATCCGACTGTTCCGGGGAAACTTTTACGCTTGCTCTTCCATGACTGCTCCGTCAACGTGAGTTTCCGTCTCTTGTATCTATCCATCCCTCTATCCATCTATCTGTACATTATACTAAAGTGGCGGCAGCTTCCTAAGAAGAGCCATTTAATAGATGCTAGATAATTAAATGCTATATTATAGCTATGTTCTTGCAGGATTGTGATGCATCAGTGCTAGTAGAAGGGGATGGAACTGAGAAAGCAGATCCTGCAAATAAATCTCTAGGAGGATTTGAAGTAATAGAGACGGCTAAAAGAGAGCTAGAATTGTTCTGCCCTGGAACTGTTTCATGTGCTGATATTCTTGCACTGGCTGCTAGAGATGTTGTCATGGTACCATAAAACCTATCCTTCTTTCTCATGTTCGAGCATGCGCGCACACACACACACACTTTTTTCATTGTTGTTTACAAATGTTCTAATATAATAAAGATATCATGTTTTCAGAACAATCTAACAACACTGCTATCATTAGATGATCTTGAAAGATTTAAGGCATGCTCTAAGTTAGAGATGCGGGTCACTAGTACCGGATGTTTCTCTTCATCTTGATACTTTATTTTGAATGTGTTAACCTCGAGTTCTAGCTGGTTGGCCAACTCTTCCTTGAGCTGGTCAATACTGTAACTCAATGAGAAATCAAATCTAACTACATCATCTTTATAAGTGGCCTTCACTGTAAAGTTGCTTGAGTTATTTTCATTTTGTTGCAAAGCATCTGACTATGTACACTCATTTGCACCATCCAAATGCTCGTGGGCGCATTGAAAATGATCTATATCGCCTAGAGTTTCCATTAAGTTCTCTCTGAGGGTTTCCATTGTGTCCAAGGTCAAGTTGCTAACAGTGTCGGGGGTGGATGATACATGATTTGGCAAAGTAAGCTGGTCTGCTCCCATTATACACTCCCCTACAGTTTCCGTGTGAGATGCTGAATTAGCAGGATTATTCGCCAAGTTCTGCTGCGATGAATCATTTCCAACTGGTTCTTTATTATTCTGTTTCCTCTTCTTTACATTCTGATGCTGCTTCCCTTTTCTGCTTGATTGCCACTTGAGTTTCAAAGCATTCAATCTTCGCTTCATTGTAGACCTTGAGACTACAAATTGTGGACAAGTACGACGAATCATATAAGCAAGACAATGAATCAAAACATAAACCATTTATATTTGACAACAACATCATAAATTAGATAAAGGAGAAAATAGAAGACACAAGTACATAATGAGAAGTACTACGTATGTAATAGCATTTACAATAATGTTACACTAATGGAAGGTGTTAATGGCATCAAAGCACATACGCGAGCTAAAAATCTACTGATTACCAAAGAAACTCGAGCAGTTTTCTAAGAAATCATCAGGATGCAGATCTCACTCTCCAAGATTCTATTACTTTGTCTTTTAAAATATGCTAATGACAATAAATTTTGTAAACCGAAAACTTCTCAATCATATTATTAGCATTTTCTTAAAAAGGAGTGGCAATAGTCTCTAGGAGTAAGAGTAGGCAGTTTCTAAAAACATCAAATAATAATAGAAAGGTAAATTATTAAGAAATGGAAAATGTAGTTTTTAATTCTGTTGAAGTATCAGGTTGATTTGAGGTAGCTTCTTGGTTCATAGAAGTTACCAGAAGCAGCTTATGCCCGAGCACGCAACGAACTTACAGCAGTCACTTTAACAGAATGTAAGTTGTTGTAACAGTCTGCAGTTTTTATAACTTTCCTGAAATCCAGGGGTATTTTGCTGTACATAGAAATACCTGTATTAATCTCCATTCTTCTGTACATTCAAAGAATACAAGTCCCTGCATTCTTCTCCATACACTATGGAATTTTACTAAAGTTTTCCAGCAAACTTAACAAATATTAAAAACAGATGATACAATGCAAGGTTTCATCAAACCGAAACTCTATTCTGAACATCTAAATTTACTAAGTGTATGCCCATGATATATATTATTGTACTATGCATATGATAAATCATCACTTATTGTTTTTATGATTTACTCTAGGAAAAAGCTCTTTATTATTACAGTTCCACGTTGCCTACAGCATTATTATTCCTTTTGATATATCAGTGGCCTGATTTACTGATTAAAAATGATATAATAGTTTTGACAGCAACTAACTTAATATTCATCAATGAGTGCACACTACACAATTTTAGCAAGAGTATATATTTGGAATTTGTATGTAAATGCATGGTCTCAGATATTAAAAAGTCTATTATAAACAAAATGCAAACATACTTCCAATTTTATTTGCAGCATCTTCCAGTGTCATGTTTTTGGACCAGAATGGTTGTAGTGTCTCTAAAGTAATTTCTTTTCCTTTCTTACCCTTCACGTTATTATTTTGAGGGATCTGACTCTGCTCGTTTTCTGAATCACGATGACTGTTATATCAGTTCAATTCCTAATTTTCTTCTCTCATAAACAATTCAGTTCAGTTCAGTTCTGCTCAGTTCAGTAAATCAGAACAGACCCTTAATCTAGGAATGTATGACAAAATGACGCGCAAACAAGTATAATTAATGTACATTTTCATTTGTTTTTTCTATTTTTAGCTCCTTATATGTAGCCCTTAGGGCTATGTATAGAATTTTCTAAAGCTGGGAACGGGCCGGGATGGCCCGCGTGCCGCCCGGCACGGCCCGCCGTTCGTCGCAGCCCGGCACGGCCCGATCCCCAGCCCCACCCGGCACGCCAGTCGAGATTCGTGCCACGGGCGTGCCACGGACAATGTTCTGGAATTGCAGGCCCGGCCCGGCACGAGCACGGCCAGGGCCCGGCGTGCTGGCCCGCCGTGCTGACACGTCGGCCCGGCACGTGGCACGAAGACCAGGCACGGCATTCGTGCCGGCCCAGCACGGCCCGCGTGCCCACCTTGGTTTATAACGGTAATATTACCGTTTTTTGCACATAATTAGCCAAAAAACGGCTAGTTTTTGGCCATCTAGCTCCCCAAAAATTCTATAAATACCCACCTCCATTTCATTTCCAAATCACAAAATCACAATCTCTTCTTCTTATCTCTTAATCTCTTATATTCTCTAATAATCCTTTTTTCTAAAATTCTCTAATTATTCTCTTAAATTCTCTAATTATTTTCCTAATATCGGAAAAAAATTAAAAAGTTCGTAATCGTAATTAGTGGAGCATTGAAGCACGGTTGTAAGATCTAAACTAATCATTAATTTATTATTTTTTTATTGTTATTATTAGAATAATCTTGTTTAATTATTATTGTTGTTAATTGTTATTATAATTGTTATAATTGTTGTTATTAGTTATTATTATTGTTACAATTATTGTTATTATTTTTTTATTGTTGTTATTGTTATTGTTATAATTGTTGTTATTAGTTATTATTATTGTTATTTTTATTGTTAAAATTGTTGTTATTAATTATTATTATTGTTAATCAGTTTTTATTAAAAATCTAATTGTTAATTATGGCATCGAACAACCCATCATCATCTAGGGGGGGAAAGGCCGACTTGGCCGTAGTAGTAGCTCTAGAGAACCACCTAATACAACGAGCCCCCAAATTCCGAGTCCAACCAATGACCCCGGTTACTCCCCCCCGGGCTATGAGCCATTTAGGCACGATGGTAGTTCCGGTTTTCAACCCTATTATATGTCGGGATTTCCACCACCACCACCAAACCAATTTTCACCATCAAACCAATTTCAAAATCCACAACAATTCCCACAATTCGGTCAATTCCCGCCTAATTATTTTGGTGATCAACAAAACTATTATTCTAGCCAAAGTAGCCAAGAAAGTACCCAAATTCCCTCCGGTTCTACCCCTTCTGTTACTACTAACCCAAACACACATCATGAATGGTTCAGCGAAAGTGAGATGGTACTTTTGAAAAACCGAAGGAGTGAGGTATGTCGTCATTTCGTCCTAAATAAACCCAACCAAACATATGCAAAATGTAAAACATGTAATGGTGTATTCACGGCACTATCCAAATCCGGGACGGGACACCTAACTAGACACATGAAAGCTTGTGCAAAACCAGCTATTGATCCAACCCAACCAAAAATTTCCCAATACCATCCACACGGCTTCACCTACAACTATGAGAGGGATAGGGATGAACTAGGGAAAATGATAGTACACGCCGAACAACCTTTTCTTTTCTCGGAAAGTGACCCATTTAACACCTACATTAACAAAGCACTACAACCCCAACATAAAAGAATATCTAGGAAAACCGTTCGTTCCGCCGCCATGAAAAACTACCTAGAGTACAAATTGCGGTTACAAGCCGAATTGAGTAACCTTAACTGTAGAGTGTCTTTGACAGCCGATTCTTGGGATAATGGTTATAAATATCACTATTTATGTGTGACTTGCCATTGGGTAGATGATCAATGGTTGTTACAAAAAAGAATAATACATTTCAAAATGCTGGAATACCCACACACCGGCATTAACATTGCTCACCATTTAATGCAAGCAATAGACGAATACAACCTTCGAGATAAAATGATGTCTATGACTTTTGACAATGCAACCTCTATGACATACACAGCTAATTTTGTCAAACAAAACTTAACCGATGTAATATTAGACGGTGATGCTCTTCATACTAGATGTGTTTGCCATGTACTTAACTTATGTGTACAGGATGGAGTTCGGGCAATTGGCCCATACTACAACAAAATCAGAGATGCTATTATGTCTATTAATAGCTCAAACATGAGGTACCAAGAATGGAAGACTTTTCTAAGACAGCAAAAGATAAGGGCAATAAAAATCAAAACCGATTGCCCAACTAGGTGGAATTCCACCTATGACATGTTAACTAAGACAATTGAGTACAAGGGCCCGTTAACAATATTTTACAACCAAAAATTTCCACAAAATGCTTTATATGATGATGATTGGTATAACTGTGAAAGATATATGCAATTTTTACAGTTATTATATAACATGACGTATTGTTTTTCTTCTGTTTACAGTCCTTGTGCTCAAAACTTTCTTTCTAATGCATGTTTACTCGCCCAACTTTTCGCTGATCATCGCAACCAAAGTGATTATGATCAGTATCTTCCAGCAATGGAAACAAAGTGGCGTAAATATTATAGTGAAATTCCTTTGATTTATATTTTTGCTTCCATATTAGATCCTAGGCAAAAGTATGAAAACACATTTATGTTAGTTGACATTTATTTTCAATGCCTGAATCTTGACGATGATGTAGAAACGTATAAGAGTATTGTGAAGGATCAGTTTTTTGCTTTATATGGAGTCTATGAAAGCAAATATGGCACCGCTCCTCGCTCAGGGCCTTCCCAACCATCCAAAAACGTAAGTAAGAAGGCCAAACATTTATTTTCACAGGCTACTAACTTGATTTCAAGGTTTTCAGGTGATTCATCAATCAGGAGAACGCAAAGCGACGTCTCGGAGTTGCAGATGTACCTGAGTTATGACTTCACCAAAGGCATGGACGACGATGAGATTAACAGCCTCGACCTCCTTGCATGGTGGAAACAACAAAGCACGAAGCATCCAACTTTGGCGGCAA